TGGGACTCGGTCACCTTTTCATTGAGTAAGCCAGCCTGCTTATCACTGAAGAAAACATTACCCTGAGAAATGACCCACAGAAAGAGCAGTCAAGCCACTGTATTTTTGACAAATTTAAGTTAAATATGCAGACTCACTGGGAAACGTTGGTAGAATGTCTCTCAACAACCCATTCCTCTTCCCTATATATTCTTGAAATGAGTCAAGATTAATCTCCATCAAATCAATCTGATTGGGGACATGAGATTCCTATCAGAGACCCCACCCCAAAGGACAATTGTATTACTCCTAGCAAATAGCATGAATACCTGCATGTCTACCCCAGGTCCTTGCTTCCAAGAACCATGAGGTGATAAAGAGGGCCCAGATGTACACGGTGCACAGTGGGCTTGCATGACATCTGAAGAATGTGGAATTTGGAGAATTTTTAGCTTGTAGTGAGTAGTAAGCAAGCCAGCTTACATGAAATTATTCCTCAAGATTGCTCTCTGCAAATCTAACTGAAAAATAGCCACAGCAAAGAGCCGTCCAGGCTTTGCATTCTTGGTATACCCAGTAACACATATGCAGCAACACTCACTGCTGGGGCAGCTTGCTTCCCCCTAAAGAACTCACTCTAGTATTTCTAGATTCACTTGCTCTCCGACCATTACAGAAAAGTTTGATATCATGAAATTACTAATATTTGTAACCAATATACTTCCTAGAAACAGTGAGCCTCTAAAAATTAATGTATCAACTGCTTTGAGAGTTCATATAGAAAAAATTATATAGATATCATTATAATTAATAATAATAAACTATATTGCTATTCTTAGCAATTATTAGTAATGTATCTTCCAGTAAATGATATGAGTAGAAGGTAGAATGAAATTTAACAGAATGCCTACCTTACATATATACATGTTATTATATATATGTAGTTACAGTTATATGGTGACAATATTGTCATGAGGTAAAAGAGATTGACCTTGGTCTATGTGAATAATATTGTTCCCAGATCCAGCCATCACAACATTATACCTAATGGCTCTCTGTCCCTTAGAATAATTGAACCCGACCTGATCACATAGCTATAAACACCCCAAGGTTCCAGCTAAATTCCTATTGATTATGCCCAATCATTTGTGGAAGTAGAGGATATACGTCTTTCTGAATATTAAAAAAAATCAGAAAAATATTATTTACAATACTATTTTTATTTTTTGCCTGCCCCTAATCTTGGTTCTCCTCTTAATTGCTGGATGCACTATAGGCAGTAGCTGGATGCACGCCCTCTCCGTGGGCCAATTTTCGTTTTCCATGGCCACCTATGCTTCGTTTCATACATTGGAAAACCGGTCATAATAATACTAGCAAACAGTTCCTGGGCACTTACTTTGGATGCTATTTTATTTCTTTACAAATATTACAGGCATACTTTAACGATATTGTGGGTTCAGGTCCAGACCTGAGTAAATAAACACAATAAAGCAACTATCACAACAAAGTGAGTCCCATGAATTTCTTGGCTTCCTAGTGCATATATGTTTACAGAATATTATAGTTTAGTATGTTTGCAATTAAATTAAGGAAATACTGTAAAAATTACAAAAATATGACACAGACATGAAGTGGGAAAATGACGCCAATAACTTGCTTAACGCAAGGTTTCCATAGACCTTCGATGTGTAAAAAACACAGTGTCTATGAAGCGCAATAAAGTAAGAGCAATACCAAGTATGCCTGAATCTATCTTCCCCAGTGCATGCATGATAATCATAGGTATTGTTATCCACATTCTATAAATGAGGACAGAGAAGCATAGTAGATGAAATTGTTAAATTTTTTTCTATGATACTTTTCTCAAGATGCAAAGATGAAGTTGATATCAAAGAATTTTGTCTAAGTAAAATAAAATGCAAACATTGTTCTACCACCTGCTTCATAACAAGGTCCGAGAGCGTTTGTTGAATGAATGCAGGAGTGAGTATGATCATTGGGCTACACCGCGGTTTGTGTAGACAGAGTCCCAGAATAATGTCAAGTGTGAGTTTGCCAAGCACTGTGTCTGTAACCTAGTAATTACCTCCCTTTTTTTCTTTTCCTCTGATTTCTGAATCAAAATGATTGCCTGATTGAACATCTGTAAAGGTCATGATGAATTATTCTGAGATATTTGAAATGTTATGCTCAGAAAGGTCAAACCTTATTTTTTGGTCTAAGCTGCCACATGGATTTGTTTTTCCCTGGACCCTTTCTCTATTTTCAAAGTAAAGATGGCAAGAGACTTGGAGAAGAGCTCCCTCTTGAGGAAATGTTATCCTTCTCAAGCACTGATGTTTGATGAAATGAGTCATCCGGAAAAATTATATACTATGAGTGAAATTCAGATACAGTATACATGAAACATTAATCATTAAAAGTAATCTAATGCCAGGTACATGAAAATTAAGATCCTTAACTTTATGATCTTGTTTCACAAACTGTAAAAACAATTTGTTTTAAGGAAAACAAAAATGGGTGGCAGATATTGTATTTCCTCTTATTCACTCAGTTCTTTAAGTAGTACTTATTAAACACCTGTTTTGTTCCAGGACCTATGCCAAAACACAATAGTCAAGAAAACATAGCCTCAGCCTCTATGGAGCATATAATTTGTGAGGAAGATTGCAGTAAGGGGAAGCGAAGAAAAATATATGTGACTACCAATTAAGAAGAGTCCTGTCAAAGAAATGAAAAGGTACTAGAGTAAAGATTAGCAAAGTAAGTTCTACCTAGGCAAGATAGTCGAAGAAAGCCTCTCTGGGAGGAGCCAAGGAACCTGGGACTAGAGGGACACCGAGTTAGCCAGTTTGGGGAAACGCTGTTGAAAAGCATTTTTAAGGTACTTGGAGCAAAGTAATGAACGCTCTGAAGTGGAAAAGTGCTCAGTAACTAATACGAAGTTATTCTTTGATAGCCAAGCACCATCTGATTTCTTCACCACACTTTGCTGTAGCACCTATATCTTCAGCAGTCTCTTCATGAAGGCAAATATTGAGCAGGGATAATCCAGTTGTTTTTGTTATCATAACTTAATCATTATCCCTAATCTAATTTTTTCCTAGGTTTCATGATTAAATGTGAGCTCAAAATCCATTCATATAAATAAGATCCAAGACCAGAGGGGGAGACTGTATCAAAGCTTATATTCTGAACACCTAGTTTACAAAAGGCTTTAGAGGACAGTGAGCCTCCACATGGACTAAGTCACCATTGAATTCCCGAGGTCCATTGACCAAGGATATGAATAGTCTTGCCCCAGACAGAGTGCACTGAAATGTGGATTACTACAGATATAGTTAGGGTGAATTTTAACATCTTACCCTTGGTTTTTCCTTTTAACCTATTTTCAACTTGTTCCAGTTCTTAATGCATTCAGCCTTTTCTTTTTTTTCCGTATTGAGAGTCTTCTGTGTTTTATTCTGTTGGAATTGTTGGTTTATTTCCTTTTCAAAAACGTGAATGCTTTTCTTTATATGCAATTTAGTATAGGTAAATCGACAGAGCCAACACGAGATGAGTCGCTCCTTAGGGTCACGGGAAGTAAGCAGGGAGGAAATGGAGAGCTGGTACTAAGAACAGGTACAAGAATGAAGAAATTGCTCCACGCTGATTGGGGTGGTAAATGCACAACTCTTTTTTAATATACTTATATGGAATTATATGAGACATGAATTATATGTCAATACAACTGTTATATTTTAAAGTTATACCTATATCACTCTTCAAAAAAATACCAATCACATACTCCTGTGAACAAAACCATTAGCTCCTTTGAATCCCAACTCCCTCCCTTGTAAATAGGGTTAAACATCTCTGTTTATTTCGCAGGGCTCTCATTCTTTGCACGACATAAGTCACAGGTGCTACGGTGGCACTGTCGGCTATGTGTTGGATTGCTAACCACAAGGTCAACCAACCAGCTGCTGCTTGAGAGAAAGAGGCGTCTGCTCCCATAAAAACATACACCCTCTAGGCTGCCTACCTGGCCCATGGAGGCAAAGACTAGGGACCACAGGACTGAGGCTGAAAACGGAGAAAGACTTGGCTGCTAACTGAGGGGACCAATGACTGTATTCTTACTGTTGGCTGATCCTGATGTAAGGGAACCAGTAAATGTCCTTATAAAACAAAACAAAAAAAAATAATAATAAAATAAAACCAAAAAAGTACCCCCTCAGAAACCCTGTTCAAGGTCCTCACGAGTTGGAGTTGACTAGCTACAGTGGGTTTTAGTTTTATCTTTTATTCATCAGAAGCCTGGGTGTCATAGTGGGTTACACATTGAGCTACTAACTACAAGCTTAGCAGTTGGAGCCCGTGAGCCATTCCGAGGGAGAGCAGTGAGAATGTCTGCTCCAGGAACCCAAAGAGGCAGAGCATGTTTGTCCCAGGGGGTCGCTGCGGGTTGGAATTGATTCAGTGGCAGTGGGTGGGATATTGGTCAGAATTGCTAGAACTAATATAGTCACACAAATTGCTACTGCCAACATGTAGCAATTTGGAAAATACATCAGAAACTAACATCTTCGGTCTCATTTGATCAGTTAGTTAGTTCCTGATCATTTATTCACATGAAAAGATTTTAAGCTATGTGATGAAAGAAGTACATTTCTGCATATTCTATAAAAGCAAAAGATTAGTAACATTCTAAATACTTAACAATCAAATAGTTAATCATAACCTTTAACTCAATGAAATGTTGTCTACTATTATACATCATAAATATTATATACTATATAAACTACATATATATAAAAATGATTGAAAGAAAGCATGAAAAAATAAAACAATTGACAAATGCTAAATTGTATTCTTCCTTTTATTAATTTCTCCATATGTAATTAATGATAATTAGTTCTCCATATATAATTGCTCTAGCAGGAAAATTAAAGATGTGAAATATTTTAAGGTTTTATTTGCTTGTTTGTTTTGCCCCCCAAGTAAATTTCTTCTTACTGTGACTTTTTATTTAGGGAAATTATCGCTTCATGAAACTTCTACTTGCACGCAGAGCAAACTGGATGCGAAAGGATCTGGAAGAGATGACTCCCTTGCACTTGACCACCCGGCACAAGAGCCCTAAGTGTTTGGCACTTCTGCTAAAGTTTATGGCACCAGGAGAAGTGGATACACAGGATAAAAACAAGGTAAGGGATTGTCAAGTTGAAGGCAAATAAGAGAAGAAGGAAAATTCTGTTTGCTTCCTTTAGTAATGTGAGACCTCCACGAAGAAAGCCTGAATTACCCCCCTGCAGCCGCCAAAGCAATGCACACAAGTCTTCAGACACTACGGGAACGAAGATTGCTTAATGCTGTCATTTACCCTCATCACTGTGGGCTAGGTACTTTCATCTGCTTTTTCACAGATGGGGAAACTGACCTCCAGGAAGGCTAAAATTGTACCAAGATCTAAGTGGCAGAATTAGAATTCCAATACAGGTCTTCAGACCCCAAAGTCTAATACTTGGTAGCTACTTGTGATAAGGGAGCGCTGGTAGCACAGTGGGTTAAGTGCTGGGCTGCTGACCAGAATGTTTCAGCCCACAATTGCTCCACGGGAGAAAGATGAGGCTGTCCGCTCTCACAGACATTTACAGTCTCGGAACCCGTAGGAAGCAGTTGCACTGTCTTATAGGGCTACTCTGAGTAAGAATCGACCCCAGGGCGGTGGTCAGGTTTGGGTAGTTACAAGAGATGGTGAGGTTTGAAGTGGCCAAATGGCCAACGGGATTTGCTATACAGAGTGACCTGGCCTTTGGCATCAAATTCTTTGGGTCTCATTACAGAAGCTACCACTTACGAGTTTTGTGTTTTTAGGAAAAGTACTTAATTTTCTCATATGCCCAAAGGGAATAATAAGATTATTAAAGATTAAATGACACAATAAATATAAAACATGTAACAAAGCTACCACTCATCTATCAGTTTGTTGTACTTCGATGCCTTTCTTGTTACATTGGTGCCCACTGGAACCTGTGCCACTGGCCTCTCAAGTATCAATCAGGTTAGCCACGGTTTCTGCAGAGCTTCTAGGATGAGACAGACCAGGAAGAAGGAACTGGTGATCAGATTTTTAAACGTTATAAAAAGCAGCAGAACGGTGTCTGATAGAGGGCCAGAAGATGAGCGCCTCAGGTTGGAAGGACTCAAAATACCCGCGACAAAGAGCTAGTCACCTGTGCATCAAGAGGGGCCCAATAGTCAAGGACAGGGCCCAGAATAGCAGGTTCCACGGTGCTGAGTTCAGTCCCATTATTTTTTTAACTGAATTAGAAGAAGAGGAGTAAGGCCAAACTGGTTATATTATCCCTTACTAGAGAATGTAGAAAACATGAGGAAGCTCCTAGGCACCTCTTCCTTTATCAACAGAGGCTTTATTTTTCAGTCAGTTCAATAGCAGCTCTGAATCACCTACCTGAATTTGCCACAGACTTGAGTGCTGGTTAATTATTGGTGCTCACCTCTGGTTGGCAGTTTGGAAAACTCAAAATGCTATATTTGTATGTAGTGTCAGCTAACTTTTCCTGTGAAGGACTAGCTATTAAATGAAATGTTTCCATTTGGCAGTCCTCACAGCCTGTATCACAGCTATACGGTCCTGCCAGTGTAGGATGAAAACAGCCTCAGGTGACATGTAAATACATGACCATGACAGTATTCAAATGAACCCTGGCCAAAACAGGCCATGTGCAAAATGTGACTTGGGGGCCATTGTTTGCCAGCCCTTGCTTTAGAGTGTGTTTGAGAAATGAAATAGTGATCAGGACCATGTATGTATGAGTATGTGCTAGCACAAATCTAATAGAAAATATAAAGCAAATACGCAAATAGATATAATTCAAGATGGAACATAGCTTCTTAAAAGAGTTGCAGGTTGGGCTGTAGATATTAAGGAAAGGATGATATTGCCTTATTGCCTTAAGCTGGGAAATTCAAGAACTTCATTGAGCTCAGAGCGAGAAGACTGAGACACAAAACCTCCAGCGGTGCTTCACAGGCTCTCCGTGACGGGATGTGTTCAGTTTCTAATCTGCAGACCAAGAATCGTATAACACACAGTAAGAATGAATTACTAGAAACATAACATGAAAACAAAAAGTGCAGAAAACATAAGCCCTCACTTTTTACTATTAAATGTAATAGACATACAATTGTATTTCAGAACATTTCATCAGAACAAATGTAAGAATTATAAAATGTGTACATGTTGTTTCTAATAAACATGCTTAGAGACAACGGATCATTTCTATTGTATTTATGGGCTTTTTCTATAATTGTCAATATACAAAAAAGTAATGAGCTAAATACTGAATATATTAAATTTTTATAGACATCCTTTGAATAATATCACATATAACATATAAGTTTTTAGAATGAAAAATGAATTTTCTTCATGCTTGTTAAATTATCTACTTCTAGATTGCATTGATTACAATGCTGCTTATGAGAAATAAAGTTTGTCTGAACAGTTTCTTAATTTTTTCTTAATAACTCCCTGCTTAGGGAAACTCATCCTCTAGAGGTATTTTCTTGAGAGTGGACAAAGAGATTTCAAAACAGCTTCAACAAGTTCATGGTGCTCATTTTTAACTTTATCTAAAATAAAGCAAGTACTAGTGTGTCTTCAAGATGATATATTTTGAAATCAGTAGGCAGGTCTAGCAAATAATCCTGTAGAATTCTAGCCAAATTTAAATTTACCTATTGTTATAAGGAATGGATTCCCAATTCTCTTCTTTTCCATAGATGTTACTTAAATTCAAAACATTCTATCAAATTCTTAAGCCACTTGGCAGTGACCAGATGCGCTCGTCACTTACCTTTGTGACCATTATGGAGTCTGAGCTGCTTTTCTCGTTCCCACTGTCACGATTTATTAGCACCCGAAAGCCTGCCCTGCTGTCTGAAGAGACCAGGTTGTGGAGTCAGACTGCCTGGATTAAAATCTTACTAACTTTATGTCCTTGGGCAGCTTACTTTTCCTCTTTGTGTCTCAGTTTCCTGAGACACAATTAAGATACCAATCTCCCACAGATGTCAGGATTACCACATGATTAAAAAAATTGTTTTATAAAACTCTTAGAACAATGGCTGTCCCACAGTGAAAACTTAAGAAATATGAGTCGTTGCTGTTGTTTGAAGACCTCTCAATTTTCCAGCAAACAGCTCTGCACTGGAGCGCCTACTACAATAACCCTGAGCATGTGAAGCTACTTATCAAGCATGATTCCAACATTGGGATTCCTGATGTTGAAGGCAAGATTCCACTCCACTGGGCAGCCAACCATAGAGACCCCAGTGCTGTTCACACAGTGAGGTGCATTCTGGTGAGTCAAACCTACTCGGCCTGTGAAAAAATATTTTTATTATGAAATAATCGATACAAAAACATCTATATGGCATGCATGCAAGTTATCAAGCAAAAGAATTTAACAAATAAGCAAGCCTGTCACTGAAGGAATAGAACAGGTTAAAAACCACTGTTTAAGACCTTATAGGAATTTTTTATGAACCGCTTTTCAAATGTATTCTCTCCCCGCTGCCATACCCATTCCTGTTTTCCATCAATGACTGTCCTGAAGTTATGTTTATCACTCCCTGGCTTCCTTCTGTGCTTTGCGCATAGTGGTGAATAGATGCAAATGAGTATTTGTAACATGCATTCAAGATACAAAGAATAAGGAAACAATGGATACTCATGTACTCCCCAGTATCTCGAAGAACCATTACCCTGGAACTCCCCCAAATTGGCACCACCCAGTGCTGTCTTATTTTCTCCTGCCCCAGTGACAACTCTTTCCCCTGTCTTCACTGTGGTTATCAATCTACTGTTTTTAAATCTTTTCACTATACATATACTTGATCTCTAAATGATACGTTTTATAATAGTTAAGGTTTTTGAACTTATGTAAATAAAATTATATTGTAAGTCTTTTTTGCAAGTTACTTTTGTTTAACATTATACTGGTGATTTTTTTTTAAATATGGCCATGTTTAGCTAAAATATGTTAATTGTTATATAGCATTCTGTTTTCTGAATAAATCACACATTATTCTGTTATTAGTGAACATTTGACTGTTTCTATATTTTATTTTCATGCTATTATAATGATTTTGAACATTTTGAAAACCTCTCTAGAGTACATATTACCCCAGTCTTCTATCAATTTGTTGTACTGTGACGGTTTACTGGACTTGCATGTTCTGTGACATTAGAAGAAAAGCCACCAGCATTTCAGCAGGGTCATCCGTGCTGGACAGGTTTAGAGGAGCTCTCAGACTACAAGGACTAAGAAAGAAAACAGTGACCTACTTCTATAAAAATGGCTCTTCTGAAACCTTGTGAATAGTAGCCGAACATTGTTTGATATTTGCCAGAAAATGAGCCCCTCGGGTTGTCATGTACTCAAAGTATGATGATGGAGAGCTGCCTCCTCAAATTGAAGTTGGCCGTAATGATATGGATCGAGTAAAACTTCCAGGCCCTGCTTTTGCTAATATGAGCATGACTCAACATGAGAAGAATTGGCTGCAAACACCCGCTAATAATAGGAGCACGAGCCATGTGAAATATGAATCTCTAACAACTGGAAGTCATCAAAATGAATGAGAATCCATCATAATGGATATCGTAGGTATTCATGAGCTATTTCAAGAGGTAGCATATGATCAAGAGTCATCGTATTATCCACACATAAACGCTGAAGACGAATGTGTGCTTAAGTAAGTGTGGTGAAGAAGGCTGATGGTGCCCGGCTATCGAGACCTATAGCATCTGGGGACTTAAAGGCTTGAAAGTAAACAAGCGACCATCTAGCCCAGAAGCAACAAAGCCCACATGGAAGCAGCACACCAACATGTGTGATCATGAAGGGCCAAAGGGACCAGGCTTTAAATACCAAAGGCGGGGAGAAAAGTCATATCCTTGTCAATGAGGGTGGCGCGTGATGGAGACCCAATGCCCATCTCTAGACAATTGGACATACCTTCCAGAGGGGTAGTGGGGAGATGAGTCACTTAGGGTACAATATAGCAATAATGAAACCCACAACCTTCCTCTGGTTCTTAAATGCTTCCTCCCCCCAACTACCAGGCCCCAATATTGCCTTGCAGACCTGGTTAGACCAGATGAAGCACAGCGGGACAGATGGGAATCAGAAACGCAGGGAATCTAGGACAGATGAACCTCTCAGGACCAGGGGTGGCAGTGGCGATACCAGGAGGGAAAGGGGATGAAGAAAGGGGGAATGGATCACAGGGAGCTATGTATAACCTACTCTCTGGGGGACGGGCAGCAGGGAGGTGGGTGAAGGGAGACGCCAGACAGTGTAATATGATACAATAATAATTTATGAATTATTAAGGGTGCATGGGGAAGAAGGGAGGAGGAAGGGAAGGGGAGGGGGAAAAAAAGGAAAATGAGCTGATTCCGGGAACCCAAGAGGCAAGCGAATTTTGGGAATAATGAGGGCAACAAATGTATAGATGTGTTTTATACAATTGATCTATGTATTGTGATGAATTGTATGAGCCCCAATAAATCGATTAAATAAATAAATAAAAAGAGTCATCGTATTAAAGACAGCACTCCAAGTTGCACTCCAGGCATTGGCATGAAGCAAACTTCAGGACTCGACGGAATACCACGAGATGTTCCAGATGTTGGAGGTGCTCCCTCATCTATGCCAAGAAATTTGGACGATAGCTTTCTGCACCCATTCCAAAGAAAGGTGATTCAGCAGAATGTGGAAATTATTGTACTACTGTTCAATATTAATATCACCTGTAAGTAAAATTTTGCTGACGATCATTGAAAATGGGTGAAGCAGTACATCAGCAGGAAACTGACAGAAAATTCAAGCCTAATTCAGAAAAGGGCGTGAAACAAAGGATGGCATTGCCAGGTCACATAGCTATTGGCTGAAACAGAATATCAGAAAGATGTTTACCATAGCTTACTGTTCACGCAAAAGCATTAAACTCTGTGGATCATGACAAATTATGGAGTATCATTGTCAAGAATTGGAATTCCAGAACATTTCATTGCGATCATGCAGAACCTGTACATCACACAAAAGAAGGGGATGCTGTGTGGTTTACAATTAGGAAAGGTGTGCATCGGGATCGCGTGCTTTCACCACACTTACTCGGTCAGCATGTTGTTGTCATGAGGTGCCGTGGAATTGGCTCCGACTCATAGGCGGCTTTCTGTGCAACAGAACAAAACCCTGCGCACTGCCTGCTGCCCCCCAGTGGTTCTGTGTGAGCCCATTTATTGCAGGCACTGTGTGAATCCATCTCATCGAAGGTTGTTCTCTTTTTCGCTGCCTTTCTACTTTTCCAACTAAGTTAAAACTAAGATTTTATGTAGCTAATTCCTCAGAAGCATCCAATATGCCTGCTGAAAAAATAATCCAAGAATCTGGGCTACATGAAGAACTTGGCATCAGGTTTGGAGGAAGCCTCACTAACACTATGCTGTGCACATGGCACACCTTGCTTGCAAAAAACGAAATGGATATGAAACCCTGATGAAGATTAAGAAAGCAACAGCCTTCAGTCATGGAGGACACCTTAACAAAAATAAAACAGAAATTCTCGTAACTGGACCGATAAACAACATAATAAATGAAGGCAACATGAATGTGGTTAAGAGCTTTATTTTTGGATCCATAATCAAAACAGCAGTCAAGCAATCAAACAATGTATTGCATCAGACTTCTTTGAAGCAAAGATAGCACTCTGAGAATGAAGGTGAATTTGCCCCAAGCCATTGTACTTTCAGTCACCTCATATGCATGTGAAACTTGGACAATGAATGAAGAAAACTTGATATCTTTGAATGATAATGTTGAACGTACCATGGACTCACTGTACTTGGGACATGTTATCAGCAAGATGTGGTCCCTGAAAAGAACGTCCTGCTTGATAAAGTAGAGGGTCATCTAGAAGGAAGGCCTGTAATGAGAGGAATTGAAACAGCAGCTGCAACAACGGGTGGAAACATAGCAATAATTTTGAGGGTGGCACAGGACTGAGCAGTGTTCCACTCTGTGCTATGTAGGGTCACTGTCAGAACCAAGCCAACAGCACCTGGCAACAGCGACAGAAAGGAGGGCTTTTATTTGTATTCAGGAGTCCCCGTAGCACAGTCATTAGCAACTCAGTTGCTCACTGAAAGATCACTGGTTCGGACCCCCAGCTACTCCATGGGAGAAAGCTCTACCAGTCTAATTCCACAAGGGTTTATAGCCCTGGCAGCCCCATGGGACAATTCCACTGTCGTATAAGGGTGGCTGAGGGTTGGAATACACTTGAAGGCAATAAGTTTAGAATGTACATTTAACGGATTCCTGTGGGGCTATAGAAATACAGTTGATATTTATGTGTCTTTTATGTTTATCAGATTTGTTGAGATTTTTATTTTTTGTTGTTGTTGAGATTTTTCTAATCATTCCTGAACTCCCAACTTAATGGAATATTTTGTTCCATTTACTTTTAACGACAAATTAGGCTTTTAAAAGTAACATTTTATTCATAGAATGATTATTTTGACATACATGCTAATTTTTTACTCCACATCCTTTCTTGAATCTGAAAAGTTATTATCTTACCTCCTGAAATGCATTCTTTAACCTTTCCTCTAATGCAGATCTGCTAATGATAAAATTCCTCTGTTTGTAATTGGTGAAAATGTCTGTATGTCATCCTTGCTCTGGAAAAACCTCTCCCTCAGAAACAAAACAAAAACAAAACACCTGCCCCTTTCTTTGTTGCTCTCAAGTTTTCTAGCATGTATCTTTTCTCTCTGGCTACTTTAAAACTCTCCTCTTTGGCATCCTACACTTTTTCTATAGTGTGTTTAGATATGTATGTATGTGGGGGGGCCGGGGGTAGGGGGGTGGTTAAACTTGTTTGTTATTCATTCTGATGATCTTATCTCAGGCCTGAGAGATGTATAACCATTGCTTCTCTAACTATTTGCTCTCTCTCTCCCTCCTCCTCTAATGTTTCCACGATGCATTTTATCCTCCATGCCACGCAAGTTCTCTTATGTTTACATCTTATGTTTCTCTGTGCTGCATTCTGACCAATTATGTTAGATCTCTCTTTCAGTTTTTAACTCTTTTTTTTAAATCACAGAAAACTTTAATGAACTATATTGACTGAACTATGCCATGTATCATCTTTTGTATTATTAAAGCTATTGTTAGATATTATTTCCATTACCAAACCATCCCATGACACTGGATCATGTAGAGAAGAACGTTAAGAAAAGAAAATATAGTAATGAGTTTTTACAGTATGTTTTCACCTCAATCATTACAGCAGGAATTGTGAAACCACAATGTGTCATTGGTTGTGAAGTTCTATCAGCCGACAGTTTTTAATTCTTTCTGCAACTGAGTTGAACTTGATGCCTCTTCTATCCATTGGGTCACTAACTTTGGGGATGGTATTTTTCACTTTGTACTTGTACAGAGAAAGCATATAAAGGTATGGTTTAGAAATTTGCGTAGTTCATACATAGGTCAAAGGTGGTTTTTTGGAGGATTTCATGTGTCTGATGTCTCTGGTTCCTTAAAAAATAGGATGCTGCGCCTACAGAGTCTTTACTGAACTGGCAAGACTATGAGGGTCGAACACCTCTTCACTTTGCAGTCGCTGATGGGAATGTGACCGTGGTTGATGTATTGACCTCCTATGAAAGCTGCAACATAACATCTTATGACAACCTCTTTAGAACCCCACTTCACTGGGCAGCGTTACTAGGTGGGTTAGTCACTTAATCAGGGGTCCACAATAAGAAACACTGTGTGGGAGACAGGACAGTGTCTCTACCTTCTCTTCCCTTAGCGCCTCCTACCTCCTGCTCCATCGCTTACTTTGAATCGATATGTGGCAGTTTCGTGCCTACATCTCTCTTCTGTAGCTTAAATTTTATAATATAGATTTATTCTCTATTATTGACTCATTTTAATTTCACCATCACACCTTACTTTGTAATCTTTATTATAAACAGCATACATATTCATTGACAAACTGTAAATGCCAAATAATCATCTTTCACATTTAATCCTTTTATTTTGGGGCAGATGGGCTTTTTAAAAAATAATTTTTAAATTGTAAATTTAAATTTATAATTCGGATCATCAACTTTGTATTGAACAGTTTACACTGCCAATCAAACCCCTCTTGTGGACCACTATCTTCCACTTCACCCAGATTAACACCCATCAACCATCTATTGCTTGATCTTCCCTTTTGCTTCCCCCTCCCTTTCACAGCAAACTCCAAAGCCTATTCCATTTGGTATCAATCTCCTTATCTGGGTGTATTGTTTCCCCTGATAACAGTGGCCTCAAATAATATTAACACATCATACAATTCAATCATTCAATCATGTAAAGAAGAATTGTGCAGTCATCCCCACAATCGACTTTGGAACATTTTCTTCCTGCATGTACACTTAGGTGTTGACGTCCCATTTCCCCCACTGTCCCCTTTCGTGCCCCCAGGTAATTATTATTTCAGTTACTGTTTTTGTAACTTCTGGCTTCTCCATATCGAAAAACACCTTTGACAGCGACAGAGAACAGAAGAACATTTTGTTTGTTTATTTCTCCCCAGGAGTGGCTCATGGTTTTGAACTGCGGACCTTTGAGGTTCACATCTAACACATAACCCCGACACCACCAGGCTCTGGCTGAAGCAATAGCCTGTACAAAATTCAGGTTTTCTCTATGTACCATTACAAGGTGTTTCTAAACTCCTTGGTGTTTGTGCAACAGCTCTCCACTTGCGGGGGCGTGGCCTCCAGAACTCAGTGCAGAGGGTGTTGTCCCTACAGACACCTCATCATCTTGCCCCCTTGTTTTCTGGGATTTGAGATCTCTGTCTAGCTGTTAAAAGACTGCAGAAGAGAGGTTAGAAAGCATGGATAAAAGGGCTCAGAAAGAGAAAAGGTCGTGCTGTATGTAGCTGGCCCACCTTCTGGAGAAGTACCTGAAAGGAGAGGAGAACAGCTGTGCAGCTGGTCTGGCTAGTGGTCCCTCTAACTAAGGTCATGCAGTGAGCAGACGCTGACTACAAGGTGGTTGTCATTTCTCAACCTGACAAGAGTAGTTATTGGCATTTCCGTGCTGAGTGAAGCATTAATGTTTTGGTACTCTGAGTTTTTGTCTTTGTCCTCTTATCAGAGCATTGGGGGCTGCTATTCAGGTACCATTCTGAGGCATGCATTTTCTGCCAGGGATGTTCTAGTCCCTTTCCTTAAAGTAACTTATCACTTTATTAAATGTGCTTGCACACTGTGATGCCTGGTTGTGTCTGCTTTCGTTCAGGCCATGCACAGATTGCGCACCTCCTCTTAGAGAGAAGCAAGTGTGGAACGATCCCATCTGACAGCCAAGGAGCGACACCCTTGCACTATGCAGCTCAGAGCAATTTTGCAGTGAGTCCAGTACATCAGTTATCTACTTTCTTATTTTCAGTTCATTTTGATATGTTTGTATAATGAAATGCAGATTTACATGAAATTGTCAGAAACAATATAGAGAATGTCCATGTACCCTTCACACAGTGTCTCCCCATCGCAGCATCTTGTAAGACTATGTAGTACTATAGCACCGTGGGGAATCAACCTGATTTAAATTTCTTCTGCTTTAATGCACTCATTTGTGCATTAAAAACACACTCATTGTGTGTTTCGATAGCACTTACCTTGTAACAATTTGTTCACATGGTTTACTCTGACCTTGGTGTAAGTGATAGTCTGAGTTTTTGTAAAGTTCTTAGTCATGTGAAGTTTGATGCGATTTTATTCTAATGTTGGGTGCCGCATTGAGCTCTACTGTAAGTCTGCTTCATATCGGTTACCTTTAAAACACCAAGGATATCTTAGTGTTCAGAAATCGGTTTTGTCATGAGGCAGGGAGGCAAGGCTTTGGAATTTTGACTGTGCTGCTTGCTACCTGCGTGGCCTTGCACAAGTTTCATAACCTCCCTCAGTCTTAGCTTTTTCTTTCTTTTTTTAAATTAAATACTTTCATTTGGGGGCTCTTACATCTCTCTTTTTTTATCATTTTATTGGGAGCTCCTACAACTTTTTTTTTTTTGGTGATACATAGACATTTTTTTTTTCACTCATGCAAGGTTGGCTGTGAGTCCCAGGAAGCTGTCTTCTGTACAGTGGTGAAGAGATAGATGCAGCCTGTTGAACTTGAGCCCTCCATGGTTGGCACAGCAGAGGAAGGGCGCACATAGAGAACCACACTCCTTCGATGCATCTATCCACCACTGTTTCTCATAACCCACAGGCTAGAACCAGTCTCAGAGCCCTTCCTTACTGCCGGCAGGGCTCGTGAACTTTACTACGTGATTGGCTTTCTCTGGGCCTCACTGTCTTTCTTCTTTTTTTTTTTAAATCATTTTATTGGGGGCTCATACAACTCTTATCATGCTCCACACATACATCATTTGTGTAAAGCACACTTGTACATTCGTTACCCTCATCATTCTCAAAACATTTGCCCTCTACTTAAGCCCTTGGCATCAGCTCCTCATTTTTCCCCTCCCTCCCCGCTCTCCTCTCCCTCATGAGTCCTTGATAATTTATAAATTATTATTTTGTCAAATCGTATGCCATCCGATGTCTTCCTTCACCCACCCCTCCTTTGTCCATCCTTCAGGGGGGAGGTTATATGTGGATCCTTGTAATTAGTTCCCCCTTTTCACCCCACCCTCCTTCCACCCTCCTAGTATCGCCACTCTTAACACTGGTCCTGAAGGGATCATCTGTCCTGGATTCCCTGTGTTTCCAGTTCCTATCT